CTGACAGGACAGTGCCCTGACTCCCTCACCCTCCCATCTACTGACAGAACAGTGTTTGACTGTTAACTGCTGCAGCCACTGACAGGACAGACATTTTCTCCACCTATAACACTATCTTCAGAATGTCTACTAATTTACATTTCTTTGCAGCCAGCTAACCACACTCCTGATGGCAGCTGCTCAACAGCAAAGACCAGCAAAGGGAGACTACAATATAATGGTAAGTACATTAACTTTCAAAATAACTACTGGCAGTTCAGAAAGTTCTTCTTCGTATCGATCAGAAAAAAAGAATTTTATTTGTGTTAAGTTTTTCAATCAGGGTCTGTTAGGCTGATTGTGAAGATCTGTGCAAGAGTTTGCAGTGTTGGAAATGGTGTTTATGTTAGAGTTTGTATTAGAGATTGAATTTTCTTACAGATTGTGTAAGAGAAAGTGTTGTGTTAAACACTGTACTTGTGTTAGAGACTGTATAAATTATGCTTTTGGATTAGAGTTTGTATTAGAGTCATGCTTGCATTGGAATTTGTGTTAGAGCCTGCTTGTATTAGACCCACAATGTTCTAAGGGAATGTTCCCAGTGACGGTGAAGGAATGGCGATATATTTCAAAATCAGGGTGGTGAGTGGCTTGGAGGGGAACTTGCAGGGGGTCGTGCTCCCATGTATCTGTTGCCCTTGCCCTTCTAGATGGAAGTGATCATGGTTTGGAAGGCGCTGTCTAAGGATCTTTGGTGAATTGCTGTAGTGCAACTTGTAGATAGTATACACAAGCATCGGTGGTGGAGGGATAGGTTGCTTGTATGGAGTAAGGGGGTGAATTAGTTGCAAAGGATACCTAGCACTGACCTGCACTTGTAGCCACTGTGTTTTATGTGGCAAGTCCAGATGGTCAGTGGTAACCCCCAGGATGTTAATATTGGGGTAATTCAGTGACAATAACACTAGTGACACCCCCACACAAAACACCGTCTCCTGGTGACACACATGCACTAACACCATCTCCCAATGACCATTGAATAGTAGCATCACCCTGCTCACACCTCATGACAGTGTCTGTCCTGCTGCAGACTGTGAATAGACAGAGTGCATGAGTTTGTGTTGAGGTCAATGGGTATTCAGCCACAGGGATACAGGGTAAGATCCTGAACCTTGTCTTTGACATTCACACCCTTCTCCTCCTCATTAATATACGCAACAAGGAGTGATCCACAAAGCCCTCAGCCTCCTTCTGCTCCAGTGGATCTGAGAATGCATGAACATTAGTTCTTTGTGATAGAAGTGGCAAAGATGCTGATTAGAGAATGATGCTTTGGCCTAGTTCACAAGACTATGGTGCTGGTTTACATTGAGCTGGCTCTGCTATCTGCTGTATTTCTGGGCCCTGTTGAAATGTTCCCATATGTGGGAGGGTGCAAAGCTGGTGGAGCCAAGGTGGACAATAGTCAATCCAGGAGGGAATTCAGGAGGATATGCTTTACCTGGAGAATTGTGAGACTGTAGAATTCATTGGCACGGATTTAGAATTGACGGTACGGGATTCAAAGGTTGTGTTGATGTTTGGATGAAGTAGGGTGGGGGTGTGTGTGGAGGACCCATTGGTTCATAAACACTAGCACAGAGTGGCTGGACTGAATGGCCTTGCTTTATATCATATATTCTATATTTACTCACGCATGGTAGGGAGGTTACAGCAATTGTATAAGTTCCTGAGTTTGATTTATTCGTCATGCCCCACCCCTTGCTTCCCCATCTTCTTTAACAAGTGAAGGGTGATCTATTTGTCACTAATTTTGGTGCCTAAGAAAGGCCGCACCGAATCTCTGCTCAGAACTCATTAAAGATCCTTGTTAAAACACTGGAGATAAGAGTGAGCGGATGTCCTGCCCCTCGAGTCTGCTCATTCAGCTAGATTGCAGATCAACTTCTACCTTATTACTATTTCCTAATCTATCATCGTAATTCTGCCATCTTCTCACTGTCTAGAGTGGACTCCACTGACATGATCGAACACTGATCTACTTATTTAAAGGAGATTCCACATTGGTATAGGCTGGATGTTCTTACTGTTGATAAGATCTTTGTAAGAATGGGGTGGTTTAGCTCCCCCTGTAGGCCAGTTGTTCTGAATGCCCCAATAACCGTGTCAGAGATAATACAGTGTGGAGCTGGAGGAACACAGCAGGCCAGGCAGCATCAGAGGAGCAGGAAAGTTGATGTTTCGGGTTGGGACCCTTTTTCTATCTCCCAATAACAATGTCTCTATGAGGCAGGCTCACACCAACCTGGGTGAAGGTTCTGAGCATATCCCTGCTACTCCTGTTTGACATACTAACGCAAATGAAAGAAGATTTCACAGTGACTTTTAAACCACTGCAACTTAAACAAGGAGTGCAAGTTATGAACATTACATCACACTGACATCTTCTTAACCTCCCTGTGAACACCTTCCATGGCCTTTCCTGTTTCTATGTGTTGAATATAAAATTCTCAATCCTTGCTTTCCAATGCCCCAGGGTTTTAGCATCCCTCTGGGATCTTTATCACCCTGCTGACAAGACAGATGTCTTCCTTTGATACCTTGCCCTAAAAGTGTCTCCTCTGGCAAATTGCCTGATGTTTCAGTCTCAGTAATGGATACACAGCTCTGACAAAAGGTTGAAATGACAACTTCCTGATCTTGAGAGGTGACAGAATTTCTTTCCTGAGCAATAGCTGACTGTATAACATTGTGAAGTCGCCCTGCAGATTTACCATTAACCAGTCAAATATGATTGCCAAACTGTAACAGATATTCTTCTTGCACTGTCTTTCAGGGACACCACCAGGAAATGATGCAGTCACAGGCCCTTCATCCCTAGTTTAGGGAGAGTGGCATTTATCCTTCATGATACACCTTTTGGCGATAAATGTGAGATGCATTAAAGAACCTCAGCAACAAGAATAAGTTGGTTCCCTGCTGTTTTTTAAATTTAGAAGTGAAGGCTTCATCAATTTAATGGGGGCTATGGAGATTTTATAGAGAGTGTGTACTTTTACAGACTATCATTTATCTGGGGGCAATGTGTATTAAAAGGTCTCTGGTGACATTTGTTGTATTGCTGCATTGACTAGATGGTTTGTTCTATTGAATGGGTTTCTCAGAGTTGTTGGGGTATGGATGTCTCTGACTAGGCCAGCATTCACTGCTCATCCCTAAACACTATGAAAAATAATGCTGAGCTGCCTCCTTAAACATTTTGTTCAGGATAGTGTTAAGCTTCAGGCTTCTTGAGTTAGAGCTTGCACTCATCCAGGCAAGTGCGGCTAATGTCTGATTAGTCACATTGTTCAGTTTGTTAATATCCTTTTTAAGGTTAAGAAAGTGTAGCTGGTCATTATTAAATGCCTGAATACGTATTCAAGACGCATTTGTAAATTGGGGTATGGAAGGTGCTGTGAGACTAAGTAGTCAATAAGCTCTAACCACAAAGGAAGATATGTTGATTTTCTGTCTCACTCAAGGTATTGAATGCAAATTGATGGAAACCCTCTTTTTATATCCATTTTACACAATGCAAGCCAGCAATCAGAGTATATTATGACATTCAGCAAATAGGCACTTCCAAAGAATTGTTTTATTTGACTATTCCAAAATTAGTTGCATTTAATAGTGCCTAGCAATAGAGTGGAGCTTGTTGGAAGGTTTACAGTAGCTTGTTCAGAACAGTTTTATTTGATGTGCTGTATGTCTGTTAGCCATATGTACCTCCATTTAATTTCATTTGTATGTTACTGTACAAGTTGTATGTGTATTGTATTATTGTGAGGTGTATTGTTGTTTGTTTATAACCGTGCAACCTGAAGTTTCTTCTCTTAGTAAACACCTGAGAAGTCACACTTGTTTCGTTTTTTAAGAATTAGTTTCTAGAGCCGAGCCAGATTGTAACCTAAACTTGGGGACTCTTCTGGGATTGAAATACCTTTCCCTTTTGGGTCTAGGCTCCATTTGTTCTGACATGATCATGACATCAATGATGACATTCCTATAATTATCATGGTATCCCAGCACTCCTCACTGGAACTGATGGAGCTGCGTTCATTCAAGAAGGAGCAGCTCATGTTTTTATTATACCCCAGTGAGTCAAGAAGGGAAAGAGGAAGAAAAAGGAGGTGAAAACCCCCATCCATCATCCTTCTCCAGTCAGTTTGAAGCAGAACTCTATTCATGAGAAGGCAAACCTTGTCAACAGCAAATATTCTGCATGTCCTTCAGGAAGACAGCAGGAGCTTGATGGCCCTGGTGCAACAGACTGTAGTGGGGTGGAGCAGGTGGAATAAGACTAGGGTAAAATAGAAATAGTTCATTGTGTGGAGATACAGTTTAAGAGGTTAATTGCTATTATTCTAATTATCAGTGATGTCGAATGAGGCCATATCACATGGAGCTGGAACCTGAGAAAGATTCTGTGGAACTTTTTACAACAGTTTACCTTAAAAATAGTCTAAATAGCCACTTAATGTTCAGTAGTTTGCATTAGCTCTCTTCCAGTTCCATCAGGGACATGCAAACCCCAGCTATGGTTTTAATGCATTGTGCAGCAGGTAAGTCCTATTGCACTAAATGCAATTACACATTTTGTATACATGTTCATTCTGCTGATATGTGTGGATGATGTAGTGACTCTTAAACCTTTAGCAGTGAAAGCTTTCTGTCCTGACAATGACACTTGACAGAGAGAGAGGTAAGCAGTGATGTGTGGACCATTCTTACTGTAACCCTGTTGGGCTTTTACATAATGTGCAGCTACCTAGAAAATCCACACATTAACCTTGGAGAAGATAGACAGGGCATTGGTTTAACAATTCATTCTGAAAGGTGACACCTCTGGCAGTGCAGCACCCCTGCAGCGAGGAATGGAGGGATCAATCTGGACACGAGTCTGTCAAAGTGTGTCTCCAGTGGTAGTAGGAACTGCAGATGTTGGAGAATCTGAGATAACAAGGTGTAGAGCTGGATGAACACAGCAGGTTTTTCTGAAGAAGGGTCTAGGCCCGAAACGTCAGCCTTCCTGCTCCTCTGATGCTGCTTGGCCTGCTGTGTTCATCCAGCTCTACACGTTGTTGTCTCCAGTGGTGCTGCTTTCCCATTTATGGAGTATCTGAATAGATCAGTAACATACGATGGGTCTGCCCAGCTACGGAGGGCAGATACTGCATTGTCTCGAGAGCAAGCAAAGAGAATCTGATATTGTCTCACTGCATAGCCCTGACAGCTCATTGTGCATGGTGTGAGGTAGGGTGATGTGGTTAAAGAGTAACTCAGAGCACAGTACGGAGTATGATGCAAAAAGGATACGACAGAGAGTGAGTACTTTGTTGCATTGGTGCAACTCGATTTCCAAACAGGCTGCAGGTCTTTATAAAAAACAGAGTGCTAGATTAGCACTGGCAGACTCTGAGGCACTGGCATGTCTACAATTGGATTCAGTGCCTTTGAGTCAGGGAAAGGAAGTGTCACAGTGCAGCCCTGAAGCCTCTCCTCATACCCCGACTACAATGATGAGCATCGTGCAGGAAAGCACATCCGCTGACAGAAGGTCATCACTGTCAAGGTGGGATAGAAAGCCAAGATTCTGTCGATGCTGATGGGGGAGTGAGCTGGGCTATCAGTTGGTGAGGCAGAAAGATCCCCCTGGCAGCAAGATTAAAGGTTTCTGGAGACAGTCAAGAGTAAACTCCGCTGGACTGTGATTTACAAGCATTAATAAAATTGCTACAAGAGAAGGAAGCTGCCAAGTGGGTAGTTATTAGGAAGATACTAGCCATATTATCAGTCAGAAATTGAAGTGCTGACAAACGTGTTTATCACAAACATATCTGTACAGCTATTGAGGAAATGAGCAGAATGCTGATGATCCTTGCGTAAGTGTTTACCCTGAGAAATTACTCATTATCTTTGAAATTACTGCACAGGAAACAGCACCATGGCCACAAAGGGGAGATAAAGACCTCCTTATCTGTCTAATCAAAGGTCAGGCACACATCAACCTGAAGGCACAAACCAACAGATAAGATAACACCCAGGCAGCTCTGTAGAGTCAGAACTCATGCTGACAGTTGTTTGATTTGGAGCCAACACTGAACCAGCAGCAATTAATGAATTGAAATGATCTGAACAAGCTCAATCAGTGAGTGAAACAATGGCCCATACAGTTAATGGCTAAAGATATAAGGCCATTAGATCGGTGGGAAGGGAAGTTCATGCAGATTATGGGAATGTATTTGAGGTGTTGGGGTGACTATACGGTATCTGCAGAGAGTGATTGCTGATCCTATAGAGGTTACAGATGAAGTAAGTTCACCTCTTTGCTGAAATTGACATAACAATTTGAAGACTGGACTCCCTGAGAAATGGACGGATGACGACTCCTCACAGACGTGCACTTTCTATGTTCACTGTGTTATCATAGCAGTGGCTTTCCTTTGACAGAGCGTGTTTCTGGGGCTGGTCTCTTATGGACTTCTGGGCATTGTCTGTAATTGGCCGACAAGATTGACAGCAGCAGTGGGCACAGCAAGCTGTTAGGACTCTGTCCAGTGGGCTGAAAGAGTGCATCCAGAGGGGTAGGAAGTCCCAGGATCGTAGCTTCGAGGGCAGAATTTGGGGGCACTTCTTTTGGATGATGTTGATGATGACAATGAGGATGACAATGATGAGGATGGGCCCAGCAATGGCTCCTAGCACTATCCAACCTGCCATGGACAACCCAAAGAGAGTCCCTGGGATCAGGATGAAACTGAGCAGCAAGTACATGATGGGAAACCAACGATAGCAAGCAGTAACATTCCCAAACACCTTGGCCAATTGGATCGGGATTCGCATGCACGGAATACTATACCAGATGAGAATTCCAGCCAAGTTAAAGAACAGATGGATGAGGGCAACCTGGAAAAGGAGAAGTGCCATCAGTGTGAGGACATTTAGCTCATTAAAATGACATAGAATGGTCATCAATCTTACAAATCTCTACAATCCCTGTCCAACCAGCTCTTACAGAGCTCTGTCATAGAGTCATAGGGTCATGGAGTAATACAGCATAGAAACAGGCCCTTCAGCCCAAACTGGTCCGTGCTGACTATGGTGTCCCACTCAGCTAGTTCCAATTGCCCACATTTGGTCCATATCTCTCTAAACCCTTCCCATCCACGTACCTATCCAAATGTTTTTTAAATGTTGCTATTGTACCTGCCTCCACCACTTTCTCTGGCAGCCCATTCCATATACGCACCACTCTCTGCGTGAAGAAGTTGCCCCTCAGGTCCTTCTTAAATCTTTCCTCCCTCACTTTAAACCTGTGCCCTCTAGTTTTTAGTTCCCCATCCGTGGGATAATCTTATCTATGTCCTTCATGGTCAACTCACATTCAGGGAAAGCTCCAGACCAATTCCTCAAAAACTAAACTAATTTTGAGATTCCATATTCTAGACCAGGGACTTCCAAGCTCTTGTCTCATTGGCTATATAGATGGTTACCACAGAGCCCCCGGAAGCAGATATCAAATTCTGATTGATATTTGTGTTGAGCTGTGCAAATAACTCAAGCTGTTCCTACTACCCTTACTGAATAACAGCGCATGGAAGTGCCCTTTACAAACCTCCAGGAGACACAAACTTTAACCATGTGTTAAATGAATACTTGTCTTCTGTTTTCACTCTGGAGAAGGAGAACGTTGGTATGGAATTCAGGAAAAGAGACTGTGAGAAACTTGCACAGTTTGACATTGGAAATGGGGAGGTATTGGAGGTTCTGTCAGGCTTAAAAAACAGACAAGTCCCCTGACCCAGATGAACTGCATCCCAGGCCACTGTGGGAGGCAAGGCAGGAAATTGCAGGAGTTCTGACACAAATTATTAATTCCTCCCTGGCCCTGGCGGAAGTGCCAGTGGTCTAGAGGATGGCTAAGATGGCTCCACATTTTAAAAGGGGTGGTAGAGATGAACCAGGAAATTACAGACTGGTGAGTATCACATCAGTGGTAGGGAGACTACTGGAGAAAAGTCTGAAGGAGCAAATTAGTACCCACTTGGAAAGGCATGGGTTAATTAGGGATAGTCAGCATGACTTTGTCAGAGGGAGATCATGTCTAACAAATTTGTTAGGATTTTTTGAAAATGTGATCAAGTGTGTGGATGAGGAAAGTCTATGTAGTTTATATGGATTTTAGCAAAGCTTTTGATAAGGTCCTACATGAGACACTGATTGATAAGGTTAAAGCACATGGAATCAAGGGAAACTTGGCAAGATGGATCAGAAACTGGCTTAGTAATAGGACACAAAGTGTAGTGGTAGAAAGCTGTTTGAGTGACTGAAATCCAATGTCCAGCGTTGTACCACAAGGACATTCTTGTTTGTTACACATATAAATGATATACATGAAAATATGGGGGAGGTGTTAAGCAAGTTTGCAGATGACACCAAGATTGATAGAATAGTTAATTATGAAGAAGATGGTTGGTCAGATGGGCAGACCAGTGGCAGATGGTATTTAACCCTGATACGTGTGAGGTTTTGCACTTTGAAAGAAGAAACAACGTGAGGGAGTATTTAATGAACGACAGGACACTGGGTATCTTAGGGGAACAAGGGGATCTTGGGGTAATTATCCACAGACCCTGAAGTCAGCCGTGCCCATCAATAGGATAATTAAGAAGGCATATGGGACACTTGCTTTCATCAGTTGTGGCATAAGAGTAAAAGAGCAAGGAGATAATGTTGGAGATGTAGAGCGTTGGTCAGGCCACAACTGGAGTACTGTGTGCAGTTCTGGTCACCTCACTATTGGAAGGATGTGATAGCAGTAGAGGGGGCACAGAGGAGGTTCACCAGAATGTAGCCTGGGATGGAGAAATTGAGCTGTAAGGAGAGACTAAATAGGCTTGAATTGTTTTCTTTAGAGCAGAGAAGACTGAGAGGATAGATGATGTGAGAAAAAAACTTTTTCACTCAGCGGTTGGTGGGAATCTGGAATGCACTGCCTGGGAAAGTAGTGGAGGCTGGAAACCTTACCACATTTAAAAAAATATTTGGATGAGCACTCCAAATTTCACAACATTCAGGAAATTTGACAAGTGCAGAAATAGCACACCTTTAGTGGTAGTCGTGTTGGTGCAGACTGAATAGGTCAAAGGGCCTTTTCTGCACTGAATCTATGAATCTATGAATCTATAAATTGCACCTGGAGTACTGGGTACAAGTTTGGTCCCCTTTCTTCAGGAGGGATGTGGATGTGTTGGAGGCAGTTCGAAGGGGGTTCACTAGACTGATTCCAGAGATAATGGGCTTGTCATATGAAGAAAGATTGAGCAGTTTTGGGCTATGCTCCCTGGAGTTTGGAAGAATGAAAGGAGACCTAATTGAGGTATATAAGATGTTAAAGGGAATTTACAAAATCGATGTAGAAAGTATGTTTCCTCGCTAGTGGAATCTAGAATGAGAGGTTATAGTTTTAGGATAAGGGATAGCAGACTTAAAACAGAGATTAGGATATAGTAGGAACTGCCAATGCTGGAGAATCTGAGATAACAAGGTGTAGAGCTGGATGAACACAGCAGGCCAAGCAGCATCAGAGGAGCAGGAAAGATGACATTTCAGGTCAAGACCCTTCTTCAGAAAAATGCAGGAAAGATGATGTTTTGAGTCGAGACCTTTCTTCAGAAATTAGGAGAAATTACTTCTCTCAAAGGATATTGAATCTATGGAATTCACTACCCCAGAGTTCAGTGGATGCTGGGACATTGGGTAAATTTAAAGAGGAGATAGACAGATGTTTAATTAGTGGGTTAAAGGGCTGTTGAGAGTGGGCAGGAAAGTGGAGTTGAGGCTGAGATGAGATCAACCAAGATCGTATTCAATGCTGGAGCAGGCTCAAGGGGCTGAATGGCCTACTCCTGCTCCTAGTTCTTATGTTTATGTTCTTGAGTAAGGAATCAAAATACTAACAAGTTCCCTGGGGTCAGAGGGCTGGAGTTGCGTTCCTGTTCCGATTACTCATTCTCCAAATTCCTTTTCTTTATTCCCCGGGCAAAACAGCATGACATGCACGTGATATTCTCTAATTTGTACCTTCTGAGTATCCCAGTCTGCATTTCTTCCTACCTGTCTCTCATATGTAGGATCCACTTTCGCTTGTTTTTTTACACGAATTTCCAATATTCATATAATCATGAGATGTTTACAAGACAAAAGGAGCCTATTTCTCTCAGGTATCTGTTCCACTTGAATAGAACTAATCCAGTCTATCCTCAGTTTCCAGCTCTTGGTCCGTATTCCTGTTGTTTATGGCTCTTCAAACACACACCCTTTCAGTGTGATGAGGGTTTCTGCCTCTTCCGCATTCATATCCCTGTGAGTGAAATAGTTTTCCTCAACTCTCCCCCAAACTTGCCGGTTGAGGCAGGTACAATAGCAACATTTAAAAAAACATTTGGATAGGCACATGGATGGGAAGGGTTTAGAGGGATATAGACCAAATGCTGGCAATTGGAACTAGCTGAGTGGGCACCATGGTCAGCATGGACCAGTATGGGCTGAAGGGCCTGTTTCCATGCTGTATTACTCTATGAGTCTCTGTCCAGGGAAGTGAACCCTTTCTTTGAACTCTCCCTCAGTGCCTCATAATCTTATACACCTCAGTTAAATCTCACCTCGGCCTCCTGTACTCCAAAGACATTAATCCCAGCCTGTCCAATCTTTCTTCATCATTAACATTCTTCCCTCCTGCCAAAACCTCTGTAAACCTCCCCTTATCACTGACAATGTGATCAGATCCTTCCTGCAACGTAGTGACCAGAACATTGAGCAATACTCTACTGTGATTTTAACTGGTGTTTTATGCAGTTCTGTCCTGGCTGTTATATTCTCTGTCTCTGCTAAGGAGGGAAAATATCCCCCAAGCCTTCTCAACCTTTTCTACTTGCCCTGGTACCTTCAGAGACCTGTGTTCCAAAGTGCCTCATTTCTTCCACACTTCCCAATCTGCACCCATTTGCTGTTTATTCAACATTGTCTTCCCTTCCCAAACACGTCACCTTACACTTTATTGCAATTTATAAATTCTTTAGTTGCCCATTCATAGTCTGAATTGTACATCTAACTATCAATTCTCTAAACTGAACTGTTCAGTATTGTCCAATCCCGGATTATGTCCCTTATCTCAAATTTCAGACTCAGCCTTGTGTCCCTCACCTCATAGATTACTTTCACGGCCCAGTCTTTAGGGTGAAATACGGGATGGCTGCTGGTTACCATGGAAACATGATCCATCAGAGTGAAAGGAGAAAGTTCGAAATAGCAAAGCACTAACAAGTGGAATAACATGCAGCACAGAGCAGATGGCGGGGGAATGGGAATGGGGTTCCTGGGTTACTCAGAATTGCTAACAACTTTTAACCATTGAGAGATCCTTCAGGTGGCGTATGTTGCACTGATGGGAATGTGTGAGAACATAAGTGAGCGTTTACGAGTGAGTGCGTGAAGGTGTGTCACAGAGTGTGTGCGAGTGTCAGCAAGTGTGCGAGAGAATAAGTCTGAGAGTGTGTCTGAGCGTGAGAGTCTATGAGTGCATTGGTGAGTGAGAACGTGAGTGAGAGCGAGTGTCTGTGTGTGACTCAATATGAGGATGAGTGTGACGGTGTGAATGTGTATGTGTGAGAATGTGAATGAAAATGTGTGCAAGAGAGTGTGAATGAGAATGTTTGTGAGCATGAGAGATATTCAAGTATGCATGTGAGTGTTGTGTGTGAATATGTGTGAGAGAGCCTGAAAGAATGTGCAACAAATGCATGAGAATGAGTGTGCAAAAGGATGTTGGTAAGAATGAGTGTGTGTGTGTGTGTGTGTGTGTGTGTGTGAGAGAGAGAGAGAATGCGTCTGTGTCTGAAAATGAGCATGTGTGTAAGTGAGTGTGACAATGAGTGTGTCTCTGAGAATGAATGTGTGTGTGAGTGAATGTGAGAACGAATGTGTCTCTGAGAATGAGCGTGTGTGTGTGTGTGAGAGAACGAGTGTGTTTCTGAGAATGAGCGTGTGTGTGTGTGAGTGTGAGAATGAGTGTGTCTGAGAATGAGCGAGTGTGCGTGTGTGTGAGAATGGGTATGAAAGTGTGAGTGTGAAAATGAATATGGAGGTATGAGTGATTGTCAGAATGAGAATATAAGCATGAGTGAATATGAGAATAAATGTGTAAGTATGAGTGTGTGTGGATGTGAATAGGTGTGAGAATGAGTGTGAAAGAGTGAGTGTGTGTGAGAATGAATGCAAGTGTGTGAGTGAGTGTGACAACAAGGGAAGTGTGAAAATGACAGTGCACGTGAAGGAATGTATAAGCACGAGGGAATGTGAAAATAAGTGTGTGAAAGCGGTTGTGTGGGGGTGGGGAGGAGAGAGGGTATGTTACCTGTACAGCATTGCCCAGTTGTTCAGCTGGGCTCGCCAGGGCTGCCAGTATTGCTGTGGTTGTTGTTCCGATATTTGACCCCAAACACAGGGGATATGCCCTCTTCAGACTGATCACACCGATCCCTGCACAGGTCAAAAGGTACAATTACAACTCGATTGCTCTGATCCCGTCACCAGTCAATCAAATGAACAGCCCCGGCACTCAATGCCAGTCAGTGCTGTGTGAGGGGGATGAAGCCCAGTCACAGTCATTGGCTGTGGAGTTCCTCTTAATACAGAGCCTGTGTGGCCCTTCGCCCCGAGGGGACCAATTTACCTCTTTAAAAATCATTTCCCGACCCATCTTAGGCTTTTAAAGTAACTCCCTCTTATACCCCTACAAGGTGCTCCACCAGGAACACATTTCCAAAGTCCTCACTCAGCCCAGCTTGAGACTGCCATCTGCTCACGATTAGACCTTCTGGAGCTCATTGTGTGAGCCAATGTTTACACTGGCACCATGCCAATACCTGCCACCTTAGGTGACAGTCTGACTGGACAAATTGCTGGAGTTTCAAGATCCCCGTCTGGCGCAGGAGCCCAATCTATGCTACAGTTTGTACCTGACATATCCACCATTGACAGTGAGCATCCAAACACCATGCCTCAGCCACTGGATCATTCCTCAATCGCAGCTTGGCTCTGCTCACGCCATCACGCCATGTGATGAAAGGGTTTGAAGTAAATGGCAATGATTTTGACAGAACACAGATCCTCACAGGCTCCTGGGACCATGGTCCTGAGATAATTTTTTTTTAAATTCGAGAGAGACTCCAGACAATTTTGGGAGCTGCAGGGCAGGGGGAGGAGCCTTGGAGTAGGCAGGGCCTGGGCACAAATGGAGCCTGTGGATTGGATGGAGCCTGGGAGTGGGTATGGCCTGTGTTGACAAAGTTGAAAATGCGGAGGATCAATATGGAAAGGTCTGTTTGAAGGGGAGTAGGTGCTGGACCCAGGTCAATGACAAACTGGCCCTCAGTGCTATGGGACCACTGACCAATGCCAGTCAATATCTGAGACTGTTATAAATGACAGGAAGGCTTCCAGAAGCATTCTCTCTTACCTATAAGTGGGACAATTGCTGATGTGAACACTGAGCTGCTCTGAAGAATGAAAGTCATGACGGCACCAACTATAATCGCCAAATACCCATTCAGCCAACCGAAGGGATAGGGGAAGTCTGGAAGGAAATCCACAAAAAGTTTTTACCGTAATATAAAACAAAGAACTGCAGATGTTGGAAATCTGAAATACAAACAGAAATTGCTGGGGAAGCTCTACAGGTCTAGCAGCATCTGTGAGAGAGAAAGCAGAGTTAACATTTCAGGTCCAGTGACCAGGACTAGTTCTGTAGAAGGGTCACTGGACCCGAAATGTTATCTCTGTTTTCTCTCCATAGGTGCTGCCAGAGCTGCCGAGCTTTTCCGGTATTCTCTGTGTTGAAGAGTCTTTACAACATCATTATTACACTGGCAGTATCAGTATTGTGTTGATATTAAGTATTACACAATCAGAGTGTGACACAGATTTGAACAGAATATTGACACGATATTAGACTGATACCACAGTCAGAGTATTACACTGACCCTGAATATTGTACAGACACTATTACACTGGAAGCTTGAGTATTAAGGCGATACAGAGTATTGTACAGTCACTGAGCTTGTTATACAGACATTGAATGTTCAAATGGCACTGTGTTAGAGACAATACTTAGTGTTAGTATAATACAATGCCAGCAAAAATACTCACAATATCACTATAATGCTCACAGTATCTGTAATTATAACTATTGTGCAGACTCTGTGAGTGTTATACTGACAATATCAATATTACACTGGCACTGTGAGTATTGTGCTGACACTGAGTATTTGTCAGGTTGCTACTTATACTGATATTGTAAATATTATGCAAAATGTGAGTATTATACAGACAATCCTCCCCAACTATAAACCTTGGATGAACCAGGAAATCTACTCCTTGCTGAAGATCAGATGTGCAGCATTCAAGTCGGGTGACCCGGACCAATACAGAAAATCCAGATATGACCCTCACAAAGCCATCAGGGAGGTCAAGAGGCAATACCAGACCAAGTTAGAGGCCCAGACCTACCAAACAGACTCCAGCTGTCTATGGCAAGCCTAAATGACATTACAGGATACAAAATGAACACATCCCTCACTGACACATTCAATGCTTTCTATGTTTGGTTTGAGCATGGCAACACATGTCCTGACAGCCCCAGACAGACCTGTTCCCTCTTTCACCGCTTCAGATTCATCTTCCTGGGAGCCAACCCAAGGAAAGCAATGGGCCCAGACAGTGCCCCCGGCCGAGCACTCAGATCCTGTGTGGATCAACTGGCAGAGGTATTCACCGGCAACTTCAACCTCTCCCTCCTACAAGCCAAAGTCCCCACCTGCTTCAAGAAGACCACTATCATCCCCAAGAAAACATGCAGTGTGCTTTAATAATTACTGCTCAACAGCTCTGACTTCAACAATCATGAAGTGTTTTGAGAGGCTGGTCATGGCCCACATCAACTCCAGTCTCCCAGCCTGTCTCGATCTCCTACAGTTTGCCAACTGGCGTAACATGTCCACAGAGGATGCCATATCCCTAGCCCTGCACTCATCCCTGGAACATCTGGACAACAAAGACACCTATGTCAAGCTCCTGCTTGTTGACTACAGCTCTGCCTTCAACACCATTATCCGCTCGAACTGATCTCAAAATTGTGTGACCTTAGTCTTGGCTCCACCCTCTGCAACTAGATCCTCAGCTTTCTGACCCACAGGCCACAATCTGCGAGGGTAAGTAACTGCACCTCCTCCAAAATAACACGCAACACTGGAGCCCCCCAAGGATGAGTCCTCAGCCCCTACTGTACCCCTTGTACACCTACGACTGTGTTGCCAAATTCCAAACAAACGCCATTTACGAGTTTGCTGGTGACACCATCGTAGTGGGACGGATATTTAACAATGACGAGTCAAAATATATAAGGGAGATGGAGGGCTTGGTGCAATGAAAACAATCCATCTCTCAATGTCGGCAAAACTAAAGAACTGATCATCAAATTCAGAAAGAAAGGAGGAGAATGCACCACCATCTACACAATGGAACTGAGGCTGAGAGAATGAAAAGCATCAAGTTCCTCAGAGAGACGATAACCGATGACCTGTGCTGGACTTCCTACATAAATGTGACAGTCAAGAAGGCACAACAATGCCGCTTCTTCCTCAGGCAGCTCAGGAAATTTGACATGTCCATAAGATCCCTCACCAATTTCTACAGATGCACCATTGAAAGCTTACTGTCCGGGTGCATAGCAGCTTGATGTGGCAACTGCTCTGCCGAGGACTGTAAGAAACTACAGAAGGTGGTCTGCACAGCCCAGGCCATCACAGAAGCCAACCTTCCATCCATGGAGTCTATTTACATGGCTCGCTGCTGCGGAAAGGTGGTCAACATCATCAAAGACCCATTTCACCCCGGTAATGACCTCCTAAAACCTCTTCAGTCAGGCAGAAGAGACAGAAACCTGAACACATGCACGAGTGGATTCAGGAACAGATTCTTTCCGGTCGTTATCAGATTGTTGAATGGACTCTAGCCTCAAATAATGTAACCGACAATGTAACCTGTATGCCTCTCGGTCTTGATCTGGACATCCTTTGCTTGCTGTGATCTGCCCCTATGACTCATAAACAAAGCTTTTCACTGATTTCGGGACACGTGACAATAAAATCAATCAACACGAATATTATACTGACACATTAACATTCTACTGATTTTGTGAGTATTACCTTATCACTGAGTGTGAATCATAGAATCCCTACAGTGTGGAAACAGGTCCTTTGGCCCAACAAGTCCACACTGACCCTCAGCATCCCACCCTGACCCATCCCCCTTTATCCCCCCTAACCTAGGCATCCCTTGAACACTACAACCAATTTAGCATGGCCAATCCATCTAACCTACGCATCTTTGGACTGTGGGAGGAAACCCACACAGACATAGGGAGAACGTGCAAACTCCACACAGACAGTTGCCCAAGGGTGGAATTGAACCCAGGTCCCTAGTGCTATGAGGCAGCAGTGCTAACCACTGTGCCACTGTGCCACCGTGCCACCCCAAAAGTATGGTGCAGAACGTGAGTATGTACTGACAAATGAGTATTATGCTGGCACTTTTATGCATTATAAACACTCTAACTAATACACTGACACTGTAAACATTATAGTGACACTGTAACTATTACATTGACATTGTAACTAATACACCATCACTGTAGCTATTATAGTGATACTGTAGCTATTATACTAACATTGTAACCAATACACTGACACTGTAATGATTGTACTGACACTGTAACTATTATAGAGACGCTATTATACTGACGCTGTAACTAATACACTGACATTGTAACTATTACACTGACACTGTAACCATTATAGTGACAGTATTATACTGACACTGTAACTATTACACTGGCACTATAACCATTATAGTGACACTGTAACTATTACACTGACACTGTAACTATTACATTGGCACTATAACCATTATACTGAGACTGTAACTATTACACAGATACTGTAATTATTACACAGACACTGTAACTATTATAATGACCCTGTAACTATTACACTGGCACTGTAACCATTATAATGACACTGTAAATATTACACTGACACTGTAACTATTACACTGGCACTGTGACCATTATAGTGACTCTGTAACTATTACACTGACACTGTAACTTACACTGACACTATAACCTTATAGTGATGCTATTATACTGGCACTGTAACCATTATACTGACACTGTAACCATTACATTGACACTGTATATTTTACTGCCCCTGAATACTTTGCTGACACTGAATAGCACACTGTCACTGCTTTAGACTGACATTCTGTGTATTATATTGTCTCTATTTTATGAGTGTAATTTTTGAACTATGTCCTAAGGGATGAGTTGCACAGTTGTCAGACATACCTGTATTGAATACTTTTTTCATCACTTGTGCCATCTTTCCCTTTAGAGCTGAATTCAGTAGCTTTACAATGAGGACCAGGCAGACACACAGAACAAACAATGATGCTACAAGCAAAATGAACCCAATTGCCGTATCAGAGAGGGTTGTGTTCACAAATATATGGTTACCTGTCAGAAAACATAAAGAGTTTGGAAAAGAGAGTCGGGTATTTGGTGATAAACTGGTTACAAGAGTCTCTCTCTGTTGTATCTATTTGCCGATCACTTAATGAGTTCCAGTGCTGGTGTGGTAACGGCTACATGTCATAAATTATAGCAACTGCTGATCAATTTAAACAGCATGTTCCTTTGTTTTGTTGTTAGAGCAGAACAGTCCTCACTGGCCTGAATTTGAAAAGCCCAAAAATAGCATTCTATTTTAGATGGGACAGTCAGCGGTTGCTACATAGTCACAGCTAAACGGGTGTTTTCCAGCTTATTAATCTCACAGGTTCCTTTTCTGTAATACCTTCTGGATTCTTTCCCAGTTCACTTTTCATTTCCTTTATTATGCTCTTGGAAAACATTGGGTTAAGAAGAATGACTGGATTTACATAATAAAAATCAACATTCAACCTGAAAATCTGCCACATTTCCTGCAAATGCTTCAGTTAGGTTTGTCTGTCACTTACACAACTGCAGGTTCTCAATCTCTGTGTCGTTTTTCAGTGCGATTGTCTCATTCCCTGTTTGAAAGCAGTGTAAAACCTCACACTCAGTCTGATTTGTCACTGTTATATTTTTCAAAACCTATTCACAGAAAGAAAAATGTGAGCCTAACACAATTGTGACATTTCACTGTTATTTGCCAGCACTGTGTAATAGATATCATTCTGACCACTGAATCAAAAGTCATGGGTTCCAACATGGACACTGGTGTAAACTCTTTACTGGCAAGGCATTACAGAGTGCTGCACTGTCAGAAAGACTGGAATGCTTGGAATGTATTGCATCAAGTGTAATCTCACCGATCCAAAACATTCTCTAAATTGTTTCCCAATTACTGCTCTGCAGAGGGGCATTACAGAGGGAGTGCTACAGTGTTGGAAGGTCAGTGCTAAGGAATAGTGCAATGTTGGGGACTGTGTTGATGGAGCTTCAGTACTGATCTGACAGAAGTAGAGCTGTAGTGTTGGAGGGGCAGCACAGAGGGAGCCCTGCACTATTGTAGGGTCAGTGCTGACTGAGTGCTGCACTGTCAGAGGGTCAGTGCTGAGGGAGCGCCGCACTGTCG